TGAAGAGGCTGAAAAGGACGAGAGAAGTCCTGATGAGAAGGCTGATGCTGCGCGGCCAGATCCACCTTCAATCCTATCAGTGCTCCAGGAGAAGCGTTCCTTCACTGAAGCAGAATCTGATTTGTTTGAGGCTCCGCGGGCCTGTAATGGCACGCGCTTGTAAACACACGAAACAGCAGGGCCCTGCGAGTTTAGGTGCTTTCTTTTTCCGCGCCTGCCAGTCGAAACACACTTCGAAATCGGGGCTTCTCGGAAGTGCATGGAACTCCGCACCTGCCACGTGCTTTGCACGTCATCAGGACACTCGCACACGCGTGCAAATGCGTCGTTATTGTATGAGAATGTCCATATTATACTGTATTCGTGGCCTTGTCCTTTTTGGGATACATACTTGGCACGTAATGCTGCGTGCCATGGGGGTGACACGGAAGTTCAAGCAGTGGCTTCCGTTGAAAAGAACTCTATCTCAGAGAGAGGTCCAGCAAGGGACAATGCGAGTGAAAGCAAGCGATCACTTTTCCGTGAACCTTGAGCCAATGGCGTCAGTCATGTACATAGAAGGTGAAACCATACAGGGGTTAAGTCTAGTAGGAAGCAGAAGCAAGCACAGGGGGTGGGTGGGGTTGGGGGGCTTGGATCTCTCCGCAAAAGTTCTTCACCTGAAATTTGCACGATCTTTGCTGCCTTCGCACGGCAGGCATTGTTGCTTAAAAGAGGTTGTTACTCAAAGTAGTGGCAACCGGCTGCCCTGCTGAAAGCGAAAGCCGTGGAAGATAACCAGGCAGAAAGCGAAGCTACGACGAGATCACACGACGAGACTAGCTCGGTAGAACTTCTCCCAGCATGTCACATTTGACTCAGCTGGCAGCTCGCTAATGGTTGACGAACTCAGATTTTGATGCTGTTTTAAAGCATGGTAGCTGCACTTACAGGCAAGCTGCGCCGAGACTCGCGTGTCGGGCGTCTGCCATCCGAGTTTGCGAATGCCAGTTGTGACACTTTACAACTTGAAAAAAGAGCGCGTCGGAAAAGCGCTGCAAATACCATGCAAGAGTGATCCTGAAATCGTCGTGTTGTTGGGCGCATCTTTAAGCGACGGCTCGCCAGTGTAAGAACTTTTCTTCCCTTAAAACCCTCAAAGGATTCAGCCCGTTCGCCGGCATGGTCACCAACCCAGACAGGGCCCGCGTTACACTTCTTTCCCCAGCAAGCAAACCACTAAAGCATATACTCTCTCTCTCTCTATATATATATACCCATCCATTACTCTCAACCACTCAGCCAATCAACCACTCAAGGCTTCAATCGTCAGAAACAGTAACCCGCCAGTCCTGACTGATCAAAAGTGGGGTATCCGATCAACCAACCCAACACTTGACCATCAGGTCAACCAACAATACTCAATCAACGCATGCGTCCAACCAACCTTAGCAAATTTGACACAAAAAAACAAAACATGTCTTGGAGCTTGAGTTGACCTGCTTGGTATGATCCACATGTCAGCGTCCCAAGTACCAGCAATAGCGAATGGTTGATGGAACGTTGCGCTTCAGCCAATGTCTGAGGCTTGTCGCTGATGAGCTTCTTCATGGGCGGTTTTAGTGGCGGCACCTTCTCAAAGTCAGATGAGTGCTTGCAGTTCTTGGTGCAAAGAGCAGAGGCTGGCGGGGCAGCGAGGGCAGCGAAAGCAGGCGGCCAACGAGGGCGGCCTTCGCTCGGTTTGGGTCTTTTGTCGAATTTGGGTTCTCCACTTGACAAGGGCTGGCATACAATTTGGTGACACCTTTTGCAATTGAAGCGCAAAAAGATTAGCCTCTGCAAAGGGGAGATTCTTCTCGTGGCCCATCCAGGATGTCCAATACGAATCAGAAGAGCTCGTTTTCCAGCAGGGCACTGCTCGATCGGCATTCCTGGTGGTCAAGCAGGGCGAGGTGGGACTTGGACGCGCCTGTGTGTGCTTATCGCCGTTGGACTGAGAGAGAGCCTTTGGCTGTTCCTTTTTGCTTGACCCTTTTTTAAAGATTTTCCAGCAAGGGAATGGGCACTTTGGAAAGCGCTGTTTCCATCGCGTCGTGATATGACTTTGGGATGCCAAAGTCGCACTGAGATGATGACTCTTTACTTCCTATTGGGGCCCGTTGCAATTAGAACAAGAGACGAGCCTTTAAATCCATGGTGCATTCTGCAGGCGCGTGCTCGTCCACGGTTGGACGGTGTTGCGTATATGTATGTGTATATATATATAATGGAAGCCCCCGCACCGCGTCCCACGCGGTCGCCGCATCCCACGCGACCTTTCACTCGCCGGGCCTCAAAGTCCCTGCGCAGTCGCTCGTTGACACTCCTATTAAGTGTTTTTGTACACGCTTCGAATGGTGCTGCCGGGAATGACAGACTGGCTTGCTTCATGATGCATTCCGCGGGCACGGAAATAGTCGACCAAATCTCGCAAGGCCGGTGATCCACTCTGGTAGTGAGACTGGCAATAGCTACGATAGCTGGCCAAATCTTCGCTCGTGCCCTCGAACATCTCAGCATAGCTCTTGGAGCCCTTGTACTTTCCAAAGGACACCGCCGTCTTTCCCCATTGGGTGATTGTCAACACCCCATGTGGCAAATCGCCACCTGGACCTGAGCTAGGGATCAAGGTCTTCTCGGAAGGCATTGGCGGATCAGCAGTTGTATAGTAATAGCCAGATCCGTACACCACTGGTGTTGATGGAGCCCTGTCCTCACGCAATCGCTTTGATCCATCCGACATGGAGCCAGAGAGGGAAGGAGACCAAGCTTCGCCCAAGGCCAGATCCTCAGCATCATGAACGCGGTGCATGATGGCATCCCATGCGCCGCACTTCCTGGCCTTCATGGTAAGGCGACAGCACTCTTCTGCCTCAGCTGGAGTGAAGGCACTCTGCAGATCCAGCGGACATCGCCATGGTTGTTCCTCTGTCACAAGCGAAAGGATGACACAAGTGGCCGTCGAGAGTCGGAGAACCTCGTTGAGCCATGTGTCCACATATCTTTAGCATCACCGCGTGATGAGAACGTTAAGGAATGATATACTTCAAGCGCATGCTCTATGGACTGACCACTAATTGTATCAAGGCAAAAACTTAATTATGCATTGAGGATCACACTGCACTTCTACCTACCATTCTCCCAAGATGACACATACCCGCTATCCTCAGATCGAGACTGCGACTTCGAGCTAGAGGCGAATTGTTTTCGTCTATCACGTTCTTGGGCTCTGCGCTGCAAAACAAGCTCCTCTGGGCTTATTTGGTATCGTGCGGATCTGAGGCAGGCTCTCAACAGGTCAAACGCCTCTGGGTTTTCTTTGGTTAAAGCGTCGGCCAACATCCGGTTTGTCGGGATCCACCTTAGTGTTGCTTGCGTCCGACGAATACTGTCCCTTAGTATGACGATGTCGGTGGCGGTGCGCCTATCGTCCAGGGTGGCGAAGACTGGGAGTTCAGGCGGTCGTACAAAGACCTGCAGTCGGTCACAAGCATAGTGAACCGGTTTCCCAAACTACCCCATAAGCTCTGTGGGCATCTAGAGCCGTCTAAGGCCTCTGAAAGGATTGAAAGGATGAGATTGGTCCATTCCAACATACTTGATGCTACAGACATGCTCTGGGCCTCTGCGCTCAACGTTGAGGATACAACCCTTGGTAACCGGAAACGCTTCCAATATGCTGGGGACCATTGGCAGTCTTTACCTAGGTTCACATCTTTATGCACAAAGCTTACGATGAAGCCTGCTTGAGTCGCTCCTGCTTTGGCGTTCGCGAACGCTGCGTCCGAACGACACATGAGAGCCAGATCACTAGGACTGATGGCGCAGAAGCGAATCTCTTGATCCGAGTGTTGCTTCGCACGTCGGACCGCATGGTTCGCAGCTATGGCATCTTCCGCACAAGGTTGTGGGAAGGACTGTTGCGAGAAGGACACCTGAGTTGCTAGGTCCGGTCTGGATTGATTTGCTAACCAATTCAAACTGCCATTAATGGCTCTGAGACAACTCACTTCTGATTCTTTGGCATCGAGTGCAACGTCTCGAACGTCTCGAACGCGAGCCCTTTCCCGACTGAGGTGGAGGGGTCTTACCTTTTCCTTGGCAAAACGGTTCTGACTCATGGTGATTTCACGTGTGTTGGGATCCTGAAAGTATTGACTACCACAAAATCCCCGGGCCCTTTTCTCTATTTTCTGAATTCGAACACCCGTTGAAGCTCTTGGATTGCTGCCGAGTACTTTGGTCCCTGTCCTCCGGTCACACAATCATCAACGTGAACTCCATATATACCGGTCAATTTTCCTTCTTCCCGAAAGTAAAAGAGACAAGAATCGAACCGAGACCTCTCGAAACCAACCCGAATCAGCTCTTGATACAACTTCTTATACCAGGCTGGTGGCGAGTCATTCAACCCGTAAACGTGTCCACAGACCTCTATCAGGGCGTCCTCGGGAACCCCGGGGATTCACCCTTTTGGAAGACTGGCGTAGAGGGGTCGGTACCGTTGTGGCAGATCACCTGCCGCCAGGAATGCTCCTTTGACGTCTCCCAAAGACATGCTCCAGCGAAAAGATGAAAGAAGCTGAACAATCAGATTACGTCCGACCTGACTTAAGGTGGGACTCTGAAGATCACCTTGCATGGCCTTCTCACTGAGATCTGGGTCCAAATGGCCCTGAAGGCACCAACGTGCTTTCATGCGTGGTGCCGAGTCATCTTCTTGCTTCACGGCGATGACGTATCTACTACCCATGATTCGGTCACTGTGGTGCTTACGTACCCCTCAGCTTCAGGTCCCAAGACTAGTCTAGCTGCATGCAAAAAGCTTGGCCTCGTCGATCTTGATCTGGATTTCGGTCGGATTGCCTGACACGGGGAGCTCTTTGGCAGCCTTCTTTTTGAGGTATGTCGCTACAAGAACTTCATGTGATGTTCCTTCACTATACATGGAGATCAGTTGATTTTTGTCCTCTAGACAAAGATTAGGGGTCATATTGCTGTTGTTGCAAGACCTCGACCGAACAGATGGCTACTTCATCCTTAGCGAACGTACTGCCAACTGGTTCTACGAGAAGGCTATCATCCATGTCATGTGCGTGGTCATGTGCGGCTGAACGTTTGCCTGCTGGTTGCTCGGCACCACTGGTGTCTTCGACCCTGCGCTTTTGGCCCCTCTGTGATTCGACTCTGCAACTCGGCTCAACCGGTTCCGAGGCGGATGACACAGGTGGTGTGGTTTCCATGGCTTGTTGAATGAGCTGAGGAACGATCTCTTGCATCATATCTTGGAAGTCATCTTGCGTCATACGACCCGGCCGGTACAGAGCGGACGCTCCGTCCTTGTGCAAAATGCGCCGTCGAACTGGCCGGACAGGCCCATAGCCTGTGGTTGGATCCACCGCGTCAGCATCAGGTGGTGGCTGTGGGATTGTCTTGGATGGCCTAGTGTCAGGCAGCTCCTCGCGGAAGGTTGTGGCCTTGTCTTCTACTCGAACCTGTGTGTCGTCATTTCCCAACGGGGTAGATAGCGGAGGTGGACTCAGACCATCACTATACCCTATCTTAGTAGGTCTAGATGGCATCGACTGGGTGTCGACAGGACTCCCTTCACTGGTAGCGGAGCAGCATCTGTCTCCGGCATTGGCAGCTCGCTCGGATAGCTTTCTGGAACAAGATCTATGTACTGTCGGCTTTCAAGTTGTCCGGCTTCGATCAGGTGTTTGATTCCTAGGAGTTCCATGTGGGGTGTTTCAACCAACTTTTTCTCATCATGAGTGGACGGTCGAATTTGTTCTGGAGCACAACGGAAAACCTGTCTTTTGTGGATGACCACTACGTTTCTGCCAACATAACCCAAAACCACGGCAGGCCCATGCCAACGTCCGGTCTTATCCAGTGAACCGTGGAACCACTTCTGGGATCGCCAATAGGCGACATAGGAACCTGGTTCATGCATGTGGTTCACCCTAGGGCGAGCGGCCAAGGCCAGACGAAGTGCCTTACTATCCTGCAGTTCTAGAACTGCTTTTCGGGCTGACTGGCGGATGGCAACCTGTCGGGCGACAGCTTCTTCATAAAGAGATGATGTGGCAGGAACAATCTCTAATGGTTCGTCCAACAAATTCTCTGGAATTCGAGGGTTCCGGCAAAACACAAATTGTGACGGGGTCATGCCATACACCTGGATCAACTGGTTTTTGCAATGTTCTGCGCTGTGACGCATTCAGTCCATTCCTCTCGGTTGGAGGGAGAGTGCTCCGACAGGATGCGATCAAGCACGCGGGCGAACCAACCCCCGTGCACTTCGCACTTCCCAAGTTGCCAGTGGGCGTCAGCAGCTATGAGCTTAAAAGAGGCGCCACCCTTCGAGAATCGACGAAAAGGCGTCGGCCAGATTCGCTCAATGAAAATCGCAAACGATCTCCTGAGGCATGCCGGCCCAAGACACCCACCTGTCTAGAAACACCTGTCTCAAGACTGAAGATGACTCCCGTTGAAAAATGGGAACAACAATTTGCAACGAGCTAGCGTAGTCTATCATGTTCACTGCAGGGATCCGTTGGTTCTGTTCCCAGCCTTGGAGATGTTTGACATCTATGCCTACCAAGGAAGTGAACTCTGTTGTACGATGTACATGAGCAGGCAGGGCTACCTTTGGGCTCTTCTGGGCTAGGCACTGATCACATTGGAAAGCTCGGGCAGCATTCAGCGCGGCTTCGGAAGCGCCACCATGTTTCAGGACTCGAACCAATTGTTGATTGGTTGGATGTCCCAAATTGTTGTGAAGTCGTCTCAAACTAGTTTTGACTTTGTCCTCGCTCTCATGGTTCAGTTCCTCCAAAGACTGGGCTACAAGGCACTCCTGCAAACAGTCTTCGACCACAATGAGAGACTCAGTCACCGGTAACCCTTGTGTCACACACAACACGGCTTTGACAAAGGCAGGGGTGTATTTGGCAGCATGTTTGCTGACAGCACCTACCGTGCGATGATGTCCGGCCACTGGCTGGTGACATCGATGGCTCTCATGTGAAGACCCAGGACATTGCTTGGCTAGACATCTCATCCGGTCATGCGAGACCAAAAGGCGGGTGGATTTTCGGATCAACTCTCCGCCTGGGATGCGCAGTCCATAACAACACATGTCTACAGACACTAGGTGCATCCGTTTGGTCAGCTGTTGCATGGAAGGAAGATGCCAAGCTTCCGAGTCTCTTGGGTGTTCAAACATGCATTGACCTCCATGTGCGAGCTGGAGTTCCATGAGTTCACAACAAAATTTGATGAACAAACGAGTCCATGTTTCCCTGATTGCCACTTCTTGAGGAGTCATGTACTGTCGATTCAAGTGCCACCATCCTCCCGCCCACGTGCAGGGAGGGCAGCAAACGAGTAGCTTTGGTTTACTCACTTGAACATGGCTTTTCAGTGACTCCCGATCGGCCTTCCTACGAAAATCCCATCCTGTGCACAGATCTGCCGACAGGACCCGGAGGCCCAACTTACTCCCTTCAAGACCAAAACGGGGTGGTGAGAACACTTCGATGATGTCATACCGTTCTGTTTGGTCACGGTCCGGCGCCTTGACTTGAGCGATCAACTGCCGATGTTGCTTGGCAGTCCATTGCATCAGTCGGAGTCGTTCTTCCTGGGCCAGAGGGATGGTTGGCGGTGGAACATGTCGCAGGAGTCGAAAGACTGTCTTGCCAGTCCAAGGAATTGCATCATGATGGGCATGTGCATTGAGCGGATCAGTCCAATCATCTTCAAGGTCCCTGACTGTGGAAGTGGGATTGTTCACATGTGTGTTACGAATGTGTTGGAGACGGTCGATGGCGACCGGGCATTGTGTGTTATGTGGTGTGAAACTGGTGGTTCGTGGCTTGAGGTGACCGGATGAGCGCACGGTCCTTGGGCCTATATTCCCAGTAGTCTTTCATCTTTACAGGTGAGTGATTATATTCCACCGAGAGGCAATTGTCTTCTATTGGATCATCAGGCTGCGGCTCGAAACCAGGAAACAGACGGGAGGCCTGTTCAGGAAATGCCGTCACATAGATGGCATACTGGCCGGCAGCATTGACCTCCATGGGAATGTTTACCTTTCCAGCGAACAGGGTGAGGCTGTCATTTGCGAAGTCAATCTGAGCCTGCAACTTCTGCAAAGCAGGCCGAGACAACAACAATGGGGCCGAGCCCTTGACGATGGCAGCTTTGATGTATCCAGGTCGACCGGCCAGATAGACCGGCATGTCAACCACAGAGGTGCTCACCTCCTGTTCACCATTGCCAAAACGAAAGCTGTTCTGCTCAGCCTTCTCTTGTGGACAAGGCGCGCCGTGTTTCTTCCAAATGGCCTGAAAGGACTCGAGAGTCGATCGGCCAACGATCGTCTTGCCACAGCCGCTGTCCAGAATTGCATATCTGGGACTGCTCACCAGAAAGACCTCGATCTCGGGGCAACATTCAGCTGTACAAACAAAATGCTCATGCGCCGAACTGTCAATCACCTGTACTGCGCCAGCTGCATGACTGGAGGGTGCACCGGAGTGTGAACCAGCTGAGATATTGGCTTTGCGCTCACGCTGCCAATGTCCAATCTTGCCGCACTTGCGGCAACGTGTTCTCTGCTTCAGCTCCCGACCTGCGCCCGGAAAGATCTTTTGAAGTCTTTGCCAGCTGGGGCTCCTCGTCGACTGTCGGGCGGGGCGAACTTACGCCCCTTCTGAACCATGTTCAGTTCGGCACGCTTCTCCCGCCAGGTGGCAGCTAGAATTTCTGCTGCTTCTTCTTCTTCAAAGCCATCCTGGATGTAGTCTTCGGGCAGGCATAGTTGAGCCCTCCTCAAAGCCGTGTTCGGCCAGAAACAACTCAACGTCCTGGAAGGAATCCTCGCCCGTCGGTTCATTCGACGAGGCAGCAGTGAATTCCTCCACCATGTGGACAGCAGCAGACCTCCGCTTCGGCGCCGCATAGTCGGGGAAACATGACCGCATGGATTGAGCCAACTGGTCAAACTTGAGATCTCCTTGAGCTCGAGCTAGGCATACAGCACGTTGTTCCTCGGCCATGCCACTCTGATTCAGCAAGGTCCACCCTCTTGCTTCTTCTGGGCACTTGACGCCAGTTTTACGGGCACACTTGTCGAAGCACTCACGGGCTCTTGCACACCATTGGCGAACGGTCTCGCCTTCCTTGGCCCGCAGTCCAAACACATCGGCGATGTTCTCGCCGATCTCGTCAGTCCTGTCCAACTCAGGCCGCCGGCGATCCAACAACTCAAAAAGCTTCTTTTCTCCACCCTTCACCTGGTAGTAGTCTTCCTCTTTGAGGTGCTCGACTCCCTCAAGAGCACGGCCACACAGGAGCGTCCAAATGAACGATCCTCGTGCCTCTTCAGCCAGCTTGTCCACGGTGCGCATTTTATTGAGCGCCCATTGCTGCCACCTCTTGTACTCACGATGGTCGCAGTCTTCTCCACTAAAGTACCTCAGTCAGGTACCCGCTTCCATGGCTGCACAGTCGCACAGCGGTGCGCGTCCAGCGCGCCCACCAAAAACAACCTACCGGAGCCAGGTATCTACCTAGACCTGGCTCCGCTACCAATAATGGTAGCCCCCGCACCGCGTCCCACGCGGTCGCCGCGTCCCACGCGACCTTTCACTCGCTCGGGCCTCAAAGTCCCTGCACAGTCGCTCGTTGACATGGGGTGAAGACCGCCCGTGCGGAAAGCACTTTGTGCTCCCTGAGCCGGGGTAGAACGATGCAGTGCTCAAAGGGTCAGAAGAAGTTACCGTGAGGAAACGATTGTTATTCCACTTGGGCAGCATAACTAACATTATCAATAATATGTTCGTTTCTCTTTCGGGAAGGCCGCAGGGGCAAGCGGGCACGATGTCAATAATGCATTCTCACTCGGGCAGCAAAACTAACATCGCCATTGACTTGCTCGTTTCTCATCGGTCTTTATAAAACTTCCAGAACAGGACATTCGAGAGCAAACAACCACCCCCCAAGCTAACACTTAATGAGCGATCTAGCAACTACAGTATAGCATTTTACGTGAGCTGAGACACATATATATATATATACATAACATGTTTTTCAGGCAAAGTGTCCATTTAGGCTTCTGCTAGGCATTGTGCGACCTTCATACTCTTATCATTGAGTGTGTCTCTGAGAGCCCGGGGTGGGCCAAAGCAGGGTCCCTGAAGTGGAGGTGAAATCGCTGCACTCAAGCAGTTCCATAGCAAACTTTCCGCTTGGGTTGACGAGGTGGGGATGCAAGAAATGCGGGCCCCAAATCGGTGTTCATTTGAGTCCCTCGCGAAGGGCTCAGATGAACCCCGATTTGGGGCCCTGCTCATGGCGTATCAACTGGAGCAGGCCCTTCCATGCGCCGGGACACAGCAGCGTTTTACGCAAGGCAGAGTAGGCCACAGCGGTCGCAGCTTTCTGAACTTGAGATCGCGTGATTTGCGCTGGGCCGCTTTACAAACTTAGCCAGGCTAGGTCGCCCAGGTTTATCCAATGAGGTTTCGGTCTTGTTTTGTTTGACCTTCCCATCTGGCTTGCCCATCATCTGCAACCGCGCGCTTTCTTTCTTCCATCCTCACGTCCTTTCATTTCATTTCATTTGTTCTTTTGCCCGCGCATCTGCCCCGACCGTGGTGCGCACGTGCACTTGCACTGTGAAACAGGGTTTTTAGATACGATGTGGTTTTCTCTTCCTCATCTCTTTCCGTTTGTTTTCTCTTGCGCCCGCGTATGCTTTCATCCCTGCATTTGCAACCACACTGGCCATGGATGTCTTTCTTTCGTTTGCGCACGCATCCGTTTGGGCCTTAGTGCGTACGTGTACATTGTACATGTACAGGTAAACTAGGCTGATAGGTGCCCCATGTGACAACGAGGTTTGATGAGGTTTGGCTCAGCGGTTGTCCTTGTTCATTTGGTTTCCTCTTCATTGCTTCCGCCCACGTTTTTCCTTCATGTCCTTCCACTTGCCTAAACCGCTCTGTGTGTGTGTGTACACTTTGGATCCACAAGCTGTCCGTTGACATGTTCGTCACACCTACCGCGCGCAACGAAAGCACGGTATGACGAGGGAGAGGTGGACGCATCATCCACCTGCACCTGCAAGTTTTGACTTTGATTTTTTCTTGGGCCGCGTTGTGACTAGAACAGGTCACTGGCCCTTGCATCGGTTTCAGTTTGGCAGACACGCATTGCATGTTTGAGCTTGGGGGTTGACGTAACTTGGAAATTGACATTTTGGAATTTCAAGATTCCTTCAGGTTGCTGCTCCCACAAATAGGGACAGGGTAGCGGTTTTTTGGAGCTATGTGATTGTGTTTGGAGGAGAGAGTGAGACGCATACATATATAGGTTTGAGTTTTTGTTTTTGCCTGCAGTGGCCACTTGTCTACCAACTATATAATTGGGGCTAGAGACATGTTGTGAGGGAGAGCGCCTTCAGACTTCAGGTGGTCGTAGAGCACGGCTGCCGCTCTGCAGATGTCTACAGTCTGGGGCCTGGCAATGCAGTCGTTGGCGGCTTGGACTGAGTGTGTCTTTTCGGTATCCAATTGCGTGTTGGCATTGCAGGAAGGGTGCTTATGTAGCATCTTATTGGTTTTGTAGCGGATATTCTGCAAAGTAGTCAGCGGGCCCTTTTTGTCCCCGACAACACTGGTTGTTTTTCCCTGGATAAAGACCACATAGATGCAATAAGTGCAACATCAGCAATATATACAATATACAGACTAAAATATGACAATCGACCAAACATTGAAATCATGGCTTACATAGATGTGTAGATCGTAAGAAATAGTGTCAAACCTTGCAAGACATAGGTTAACCGAGCAAAAAAAACATGCAAAACACACAATTGAAGCAACGGAGGGGCTCACAGTCCACAGTCCAATCACACTCGCCTCCCGCCTACCGGACAGAGCCAGCAGGTCAGCAGGTATGCTGATCCTGCACCTACAGAATGGGTGTGTATTGAAATGAGAAAGACCATCGAGTTTGACCTCTGGGAGAGGAAAAGTAGACAGACTAAAACCTGGTTTAGATCTCCGTTGCATGCATGTCCATATTTAGGTTTGACGGTATTTGAAGCATCCGAGCTTAAAACAACTCAGAGACTTGAAGTTGAGTTCTTTTCAGCGGCTTTGAAGGATTGCTCTTCATGCTGGCCAGCATCAGCACCACCAGCAGCTCTGCCTGCAGCGTTCACAGCAGCTCGGCCCGTGCTGGGGCCCAGGGTGCCTTGGTCACTGCAGTGCCCCTGGAAGCGTTTCAGGACGCATTTGAGAGGCGGGAAGTCAAAACAACGTGTTGAAGTGGTTGGAACACATGTTGTGCTCGGGTTTCTTGACTGAAAAAGCAGAAGTTGCAAAAAAGTCAAGTGAAGGAAGCTGACAAGTCTGATCACCCTTTTTTGTTTCCACACCAGGTTTCCCAAGGCCATGCAGCGCTTGGTGCAGCGACTGTCAGTGCGCTTTTCCACTGTAGTCTTTGACACGCTCTCTACTTACTTTGGGCTCAGGCACTGGTTGACTTGGTCACAACAAGTTGAATCTTCCACCCTTGCCAGTTGAGTCCTTTCTAGTTTGAACGGTATGTTTTTGTTTCTTTCGAGTTTGATTTGTTGTTGCTGTCGGATGCCGTGATCGTTTGGGTGTCCAAGCTTGAAAACGGCGCCATGGGATGTTCCAGCTCCACTTGTGAGCCTCCGCGTGGCGGCGGCCGTGGCGGTGGTGGCCCTGGTGGCCATGGCCTTGGATCTCATGATGAAGTGGCGGCAGAGATGTACCACCTGGAGACCTCAATGAAGAATCAGCCTTCATATCAGGACACTTCTAAGAAGAGTGTCTTGAAGGAAGTGCAGCAGGCGGACATACATGCAACGTTTGAGAAGCCCAAGAGTGAAGACAAAGTGACAGCGCAGGAGAAGGTAGAGGTGTTTCTGGAGACCGTCCAACGAACGCCATACGTCCTTGAAATGAAAGTCCAAAAGAAACGCCGCAGAGATTTTGGGCCTATGTGACTTTTTGAGTGTGCAGAGATAGTTCAAAGAAGGCACTTCCGTGGACAGTAGCCCTACTTGGACTTTTGATCTCACGTGTTTCAATTCTTTTTCCACAGCTTTCTTTCTTGAAGGGACAGAATGCCAGGCAGCGCTTTGCTGCCGTGATTGTTGTCTTTGTCCTTTTATATGCTGGAAGCTTACTGTCAGCTTTTTGAGCTCCGTACTCGTGCTTCCCACTTGCTGTTTGAAGTCCGGGCTGGTGCTAGTTGAGCTGAGCCCCCAAACTTTAGCTTGTCCAGAGAGCTTTGTAGTGCTCTGGATGCTGTACCTCTACCTTTGGATGCTGTACAGCTGGATGTTTCACGTTTCCTTTTCAGTGCAACCGCTAAACAAAGGTTCGAAAAGGTCGAGTTTCGCCTGACAACTGCACGTCATGTTTGCTGCAAGAAATGTTTTCTGACATGCCAATGCGGTTTCCGTGCTCCTTGTGAGGCATGAATTTATGACTTCCTCCACGTTCAAAGCCAACGAGGCGATTCATCACAGCCTCGATTGTGTGGTAGGAAATATTCCAGATATGTCCGGGCATCTTGTACACTGTACACTGCTTTAAGTGCCACAAAAGAGAAACTAAAGGAGCTGCAAAACCTGTCTACTTTGAACAAGGATGCAAAGGAAACAAGACACCGGAGGTGGAGGCAACATAGGCAACCAAACTTTTGTGCAAGGCACGAAATTGAAAATGCAGAGGGTAATTAGAGAGATCACCAAGCCACAACTTTCAGACAGGGAGACGAGGAAGCAAGTGCAAATTATTGTGTGCCACAGCATGATAAATGATAAAGAGATTGGCAGGTAGGCAGGGAATTCATCTTTGGATAGAACTCATTTCCATGCAACAAACGTAAGTTGTTTGGGGAAAGGAGGACACGTGTCCGTTTACGCCAGAATTGAGAGGTGGACAACTATGCAAGTTGGGAATAAATAAGAAAGAGCTTGATTTTGTGAAAAGGTACGCCATCCCTAGTAGGTGGGAAGCAAGAAGGCAGCTAAGGGCGAGGGGACAAAAAGAAGCTGAGAGTCACCAGACCAGAGCAAACTTTGGCCACGGCCGTCACTTGGGCAGGCCAGGAGCCCCTAGCGTCTTTGCTCCACCAGAGGAAAAGATGAGAGACGCAGTCAGTTTGTGACAGCCACAAGGAACGACAAGTGGAGAGACATGCATTTCGTTTCATGTCACCTTGCACTATCACTTCGACAACACGGTCGCATCACAGGCGATGCTGGGTAGTGCCCAAATCCCCACATTTTTTGTGTAGGGTTCTTACCTTTATGTGCCTCTCCTCGCCATCCTGCCGCTCGCTCTCTCTCTCTCTCTATCTCTCTCTCTCTCTCACTCTCACATGCAGCCACCCACCCACCGTTGACACCTGAAGGTTTGGCTGGGCCCGAAAGGGACTTGTTTCCGCCTTGACCAGTAACATTGAACAGTGTCCGCTTGGCATTGCGCTGCGGTATTCGAATCAGCTCACTTCATCCTGTTCTTGGCCGAGAATTTGCCACGGCCTTCGGTGCAATTGACTCTGTCAGATACTGACTCTGTGAGATGTTGACTCTGTCAGATGTTGGTGTTTTGTGTACCGTCGCAAATCTTGATTTAAGACCAACCTCGACCGAACATTCGAGAAAACAAGCGCACTGGGGTGATTCCTAAAAAGAGCATCAAATGCTCACCTCAAAAGTTGCAAGCAAGACCGGCAACGTCACCAATGTCGGGGCCACAACCGCTTAGTAATTAAAAATATAATGCCCACAGGCAACTGTCCACCAAAGGTGTTTGAACCAACATTCAGAAAGAATGCAGGCGATGCCAACAGCCACGAACAGCACTACAAGCATTACCAAACATTTGAACGACACTTCAGTACATGTCGTGCAGGGGCCAGCGTGGGCCAACCTTGGTCGTAATTTGCATTGGAAACAAAAACGCTGGCTGCAAATGATGTGGTATGACCCGAAATGTGCCTGGCAAAAAATGTACTGTATAGCTTTGAAAGGCGAAAAAAACTATTTGTGGTGGACGCGGTGCTCAGACAGCGATTTAGGTATGAAACCTTGTTGGACAGTGCCCTTGGGACTCTTTTGATATCCTGGCAAGTGCTACCAGGTGCGAGTGGTAATGTCCACTGGAGGCTTGAAACCAAACAAATATATATCCTCTCTCTCTCTATATATATATATATTTTTTGAGAATAGTTAGGTTCCTTCGTGATTTGCTGGCACAAGGGGCTGTGGAACTGCGTGCACAGCGCTCCCTCGCGCAGACGGCAGTCGCCAATGTCGCTTCCGAAACCCTGCGGCATACGACGCTTTGGGCGCCCTTAGCGCTGGAGCAACCCTGGCGTGGACCTCTCGTTGTAGGGGATGACAAGAACTCGAAGTCTCGATCCCTTCGGTGACAAAGTAAACACGTTTTCACGCACGTCGTAGCGGTATGGTGGCTACAAGGGCCCTCGTGAACCCAAAAGCAATTGAAAAATCATGAGTATTCACAATGTGCATTCGTGACATTGACACGGGAGGAAAGTCGTTCGCTTCGACCCATCTACGGCCGTATCATGTCTCAGCGGAAAAAACACTTCAAAATTCAGGCCCTGGCAACTTTCAGTCGCGATGCGGGTAGTAGGGGCTACAGAACATCCATGCTCCATGTTGTCGTTCCGGCAATCGAACAAACTTGTTTCTCTCGACGTCCAAAGTCAAAGGCGTTTGGATCATCTTGTCTCGCACTTCATAGTCCAAACACCTTTTCTGAAGTCTTTTGATTTTATCCAGACTCTCGAGCTCTTCTCTGCTGCTTCTTCGCAAGTATGTCTGTCTCAATCATGAAAAGCAGTCGATCATCAGTCGATCGTTGTAAAGTCGATTCCACAGTCGAATCTGGTCAGAGGTGCAATGAATGGTGTCTTCAATGTCCAGCCATTTCTTGTATATTCGGCAGCGTGTGTCTGTCCAATTCTCTTGGATGATGACACCTCTAAGCGCCGGGTCAATCTGTGTGTTGTCCATGTTGTTCACCGCCTCATACAAAAATCGTTTCCAGCGTCTTTGGTTCACTTCATTCTCCACACTCTCTTTGATCAGGTTCCACCTGATCCATTCAGCTTCATTCAATTCTGGGTCATCGTTCACAGACGAACTTCCAGCGTCGCTCACTCTCTCATCCCGCGCCAGCTCTTGTTCTCCTAGATCGCCATGCAACGAGTCATTCTCAGGAACCTCGTCATACTAAGTGTCGTCCTCATTCACACTCATGTCAGCATACTCAGGCTCGACCTCATCCTCAGGCTCTGCATCAAACTCTGGCTCTGCTGTTGCTTCATTGGGGATCACACGCCTGAACACGAACTGGCCAAAGGTGGTCACAAACACATAGATCTTGTAGGTCACAAACTGCAAACCAATAATAATAAAAGAGAAAAACATCACAACCAACAAAGCCCACCACAGGCGTTCATCGTTGAAGTTCACCTCGACTCATCGGTTCCAATTCTCACAGCCTGAACTCCAACCTTGCTCATAGCATGAGTTGCCAAAGTTGCCACTGCTACTTTTGCGACCGTTTCCCATAGATCTTCTCGAAGACCTCGGCGTTGATAGTCCTTGTAGTGTCGGCGGCTGCAGTAGCGATGATGGTCTTTTTTTCTCCAGTCAGGAGCTTTCCACAACCGGGCAGCTGGCAAATCTCTTTTGGGATCTTTGTGACCTCCAAAACATCGCCTTCAAAGAGTCGCAGGGCAGCTTCATCAAGCTCCTTCTCTTCATTTGCTATGACCTCTTTGGAGACTTTCTTTGCAGCTGTGAAGTTGGGATCGTACCGAAGTGCATGCACTCCTCGTTTGAGGATGTGAGCGAACTGGTCCTTTGCACTTGGCTTGGTTAGACCATCTGCAACCTGCTGAGTGGAATCGACCCACTTCAGGTAGCCCAACATGGCATTGAGTCTCTCCTTCACGATGCAGACCTCGATGGCTGTCCTCTTCTCTGTCAGTCGAAGTCCTGCCGACACTGAACGGGCTGAGTCGAACAAGGATTTTGCATCTGTCAACGCAGGAGTCTGTCCGAACTTTCTCAACGTTGATTCTTCAGCTATCGGAACTGTGGGACAAACCATAGTTGCAGCATAGATCTTTATCCAGTCGGTCTCGTCGGCTCCGGCAGCGGACTGCGCTTCTGCTGATAGCGATGAACGACACATTCTGGTGAGTTTCTTCGAATGCCAACTCCCCAATGTCAGTGGAAAAGGTTTGCCAACGAAGATTGCATGTCCCCCTTGGGATGCTCCATCAGGCCTGATGCCCCAACTGGCGTCCATGTAGACTCCAAAACGGAGCTCAGCCAAGGAAGTTCCATGACGTCGAAGGATGCAGTACACCTGCACCACTTTCTTGGCAAATCTCAAGAGCTTGTTTGCCACATTGATGTCATTGACCGTCGGGGAACTGGAAGAAGCCTGCAGCAAGGAAATCGAAGCCGATAGCTGAGGCAAACACTGTCCAGCTGGCCATGCTAGGGCGCCCATCAATGCCCTCAACATTTTCACCTTTTTCTCCTCAAGTGGCGAGTCGCTCATGGTTTTGTGGCTTTTTCCCAAGGTGATGGGCTTGATCTTATGGACGTACTCCTTGAGAGACAGGGTGATCACATCATTGTTCAAGCTTTGCTCAATGGAAGTTCCACAAAACAGAATTGGTGAATTTTGTCCAAAGTCCAAGAACCGAAGCGAAACTTGTTGGCCAACATCTGCAATCGCTTCTTGAAGAACCACTCGAAATTTTCAGCTTCCGTGGTGACAGCTCCTGTTGCGTCTTCGATGGAACTCACTCCTTCTCCACATCCAAGAAAATCGTCCACGTGTAGTCCCAGAATGCCGTCAACGACAAGGCACACCATCCAGCATGAACACCTGAAATCATGATCCTCACTGTACGCTCTTCTCACACTCAAGAAAACACAGTTATCCAATGGATGCACCAAAAACTTTGCCTCCTCCAACAAAAACTCTCGAGCCGATTCATACCACTGTCGTGGAGCCCGAACATCACCGAAAGCCAGTTTCGTCGCTTTGAGCAGTACCCACGGTTTCAGGCCCATCAAACGTTCAAGTCTTCTCCTCATTTCAGCGGTTGGCTTGATGAAAATGCGGGTTTGCACATCGATCGACTTTGATTGCATGAAGGCACTCTTGACATTTGCAGCAAAGACTTTCCAACCAAGCTGACATGCCCAAATCAAAATCAACATGCGGCCCGTTCGGCTCAAAGTCGGTGACTCACCATCAAGCTCTTCAGTCAAAACGTCCTTGTGGCGAAAGCCCTGGAGAATGACCCGGGCGTTGGCCA